CCTTCATGGTTTCCTCCCTCCTTCAGGCTGCCAACAACCTCATTGTCCTAGGCCGTGAGGAAGCAGGGGCAGAGAGGATCTTCCAGAACAACGGCGTGGCCCTGCTGCTGCAGCTCGTGGACACTAAGAGGCCTGAGCTGGTGTTGGCTGCGGTGCGGACCTTGTCGGGCATGTGCAGTGGCCACCGAGCGAGGGTGAGGGCGGGGTGGGGTTCATGGCGAGGATGGGTGCCAGTCTGAGGACCTGGAGTGGGCATGTGGGCAGGGCGTGGCTGGCATGACAGCCCCTGATACAATGTCTAAGGTGCCCCCCTTCAGCTGTGGTTGCCTGGTCCCGGATCCAACAGAGGCTGACCCTCTCGTTTTCCTTTGAGCTGGGAGTGGGTCTAACTAAGCAAAGATAAATTCATTGAAAGTGGTTTATGAGGAAGAGCTGAATGTAAAGGCTATGAGAGTTCACTGTTTTTCATATTAAGTCTTTGGAATCCAGAGTGCATCTTACACTCAGTCCATCTCAAGTGGACTTGCCACCTTGCATGTGTTCAGTGACTTCCCCAGCACGAATGGCTACTATATTGGACAAAGCAGCTCTGCACCTCTGGAAAGGGGCCTGGCTTGTGTCAAAGGCCTGTCCAGGCCATGGGCCCCATGAGGCATCAGCTGCCTGGGCGTGCGTCCCTACTGCCTGGGTGGCTATCACCCACCCCCTAACCTGCCTGGCAGCTGGAAGGAAGGGAAGTGCAGGCAGCTGACTGTGGTTCTTGCTGGGGTGGGGTGGGGGTCATCTAGGCCACAGCGATTCTCCACGCCGTCCGGATAGACCGAATCTGCAGCCTCATGGCCGTGGAGAACCAGGAGATGTCTCTGGCCGTCTGCAACCTGCTCCAGGCCATCATCGACGCTCTGTCTGGGGAGGACAAACAAGAGCATCGAGGGAAGGAGGAGGCCCTGGTTCTGGGTAGGAGACAGTCTTCGGTTTTGGTGCCGGGGGTAGGGGGCAAGGCAGAGTCAGTTACCACCTCGGACTGGGCACTCCCTCTATATAGAGGTGGTCAGGTTTTATTTTTCCATTTATTTTCTGATGATGAAAGTAACAGAGGCATAGCAGCGTTATTTACAACAGCAAAAAGGTGGAAGCAACCAAGTGGCCATCGACGGATGAATGGATAAACAAAATGTGGTGTCTACGTATACAATGGAATATTGTTCAGCCTTAAAATGGAAGGAAATTCAGACACGTGCCACAACATGGGTGAACCTTGAGGAACATTATGTTAAGTGAAATCAGCCAGCCACAAAAAGACAAGTACTGTATGATTCCACTTATATGCATTTTCTAAAACAGTCAAACTTACAGAAACAGAAAGTAGAGCGGTGGTTGCCAGGGGCTGGGGGAGGAGGAAATGAGGAGTTATTATTTAATGGGTGTGGAGTTTTACTTGTGTAAAATGAAAAATGTTCTATGGATGGATGGCGGTGATGGTTATGCAACAATGTGAGTGTACTTAATGCCCTGAACTGTACGCTTTAAGATGGTGCATCTTATTTTATGTATTTTTATGCAATTTAAAAAAGAAACAGAGGCTTATTGGAGATATTTGAAAGATTTTAGAAATATGTGAAGATGAAAAAAACAAGCCAGTCTCCAGATAACCACTATTATCACTGCCATGTGTATCCTTTCAGTCTTTTTTTCTATCCATCCGTATAAATATCTATTTAACAAAGCTGGAATTCAGCTATGGGCGGTTTTGTGTTTTTCCCCTTTCTAAGCATTAGTATTGCATACCATTTAATATTCCTGAAGAGGATTCCTTTTGACTTTAATAATTATTATTTTGACATTTGTCTCATTCCTGCATATATACACATACAAGCTCATGTTTCTTCCTGCACATCCAGGTCCTAGACATCATTTTCGAACTTCCTGCTCAGCCTGGGAAGGGCACAGAGGCAGGTTCACTCATAGAAAATTTGATCTTAAATAATTCTATTATATTCCATTGTATGGCAATATTATAATTCATTAATCAGCCCTATGCTATTGGAGATTTAGATTGTCTCTAATTGCATGCTTATAAAAAAATTTCAGTTGCCATTCTTTATGTAAATCTCTGTTTGCATTTGTAATTATTTTCTTGGAACAAATTCCTAGAAACTGGAGTTAAATGCTATGAATGTAAATAAAGCTCTTTCAGATTCCTTTCTGAGGGTGCAACAATTTGTGCTCTCACCAAGTGATGATAAGTATTCTAGTCTCAAATCATTCTCACCAGATTCGAATACTGTCATTCTTACAGATACTCTCCCAGTCAATAGCTAAAAATTATCTTGTTTGAATTTTTTAAGTTAACTAATGATATTGATCATTTTTCCTTATTCTTATTAGCCATTTGGTTTTGTCTTGAAAAGGCTTGTTCATGTTATCTATTTTTCCTCTTGGAGTATCAGTGTTTTTCTTATTGATTCAGCAGAGCTCTTTGGAGATTAGTTAACTTTGACCTGTCTGGAGTCCTGAATTCCTGATGTGGTTCTGACTTACTGTTGTAATGATCAGCAAGTCATGTTCTTTCTCTGCACTAGAATCACTGGAGGGTCCAAGATGGCTTCACTCATGGCCGGCGGTTAACTGGACGTGCTGGCCAGGGCACCTTGGTTTTACTCCTTGTAGCCTCTCTGGCAGGCAGCTTAAGTTTCTATGTAACATGGTGGCTGCATTTTGAATGGACAAGCCCACTGTGCAAGGGTTTTTAAGCCTCTTGGTGTGCCATAAGATCACAAGGCCAACCCAGGGCCAGTATGGGAGGAGACTCCCCGAGAGCATGTTTCATTGGGGACTGCAACTTCCTCAGGAGGTAGTGAGCTGTTGGACATCTCTGCTGAACGATTCTTCCATATAGTGATTTCAGCTCTATCTGCTTGTAGCTCCACCCACCTCTGGTCCCGGTTCTGCCCTCTGGAGTCTCACAGAGTAAGTCTCATGACATACCTTTATCTCATGTCCACTCATGTCTTTACTTCTTTCGTTAAATAGCCCCATTTCTTCATCATTGATTTATATGACACGACTTGGCGATTTTTCATTTTCTACCTGCCTGCCTTTGGGCTCCAACTCAGAATGAGGACAAAAATCTCCAAGTTCCAGAAAGGTCAGACAGGGCAAAAGCAGGAAGAGGCATTTGCTTTTAAGGTCCGCAGTGAACAGGGAAGAGCTGGTATCCCAGCAAAGGCTTGAAATTCAGGCTCCCAGCATGCCTGAATTTGTGGGGAGTAAGATGTATGTAGGGATGTAAATTTCCTTTCTGGAAAACATTTTATTAAATCAGTGTAGTAGAAACTGCATGAAGCATCTCTGGATCCCTGCCAGTCATTGCGTGGGAGTGAAGAACTTTCTAAGAACCAGAGCTGTTCAAGTATGGAATAGGCTGTTGCAGAGGTCAGTGTTCAGAGTGGCTGGAGGACCCCTTGGGGGTGTTGTTTAGAGAGTTCCCTTCCTTTTTTTGGAGTGAGATGGGCAATACTATACTTCCCTGGGAAATTCCAAAATCTAGGAAGCAGTGGATTCAGTATTTCCAGAGTCCTTCCAGAAGCCTCTGCCATCACTGGTTCTACAGCCCTAAGACTCCCTGGTCCTTTCTGTTTACCACTGTCCTCTCCTTCCTCAGACACCAAAAAGGACCTGAAACAGATCACCAACCACCTGCTCGACATGCTGGTCAGTAAGAAGGTGTCTGGCCAGGGCAGGGATCAGGCCCTGAACCTGCTCAATAAGAATGTCCCCAGGAAGGACCTTGCCATTCAAGACAACTCGCGCACCATCTATGTGGTGGATAACGGTGAGGAGATGGGAGGGTCGGGGCTCACCCCAGCCTTTCCAGTGGGCAACCAGGGTACCAGGCACCTAGCAGAAAGTGGAAGGGGTATGGCTCTTGTCTGGGAGAAGTCTTCATTCCCAACTGAAAAGCTGGGAAAGTGTATTAGCATATTAGGATCCACCAGTGTGCTGGTGAGGGTGGAGGTCAAGGTTCTGAATTCAGGACCTGAACACACGCAGAGAACACAACACACTCAGAAACATCTGGGTGGAGTTTCCTGACAAGCGAGGAAGTCTGGGGGAAAGAGAATATAAAATAGTATTTGAGGGAGGTTATATGTCAAGGCACAGATTGTCAGCACTGGTAGAGACCTCTGAGATCAACTAGTCTTGATTTTGTAAATGTGAAAATAGAGGCTCATAGCAGGAAGGGGGTTGCTTAGGTTCGGGCAGAGTCAGGTGTAAAACCTGGCTCTCCTGGCCCCACCCCAGGGATAAGCCACTCTGGATAAGCCATGCGCTGCCCAAAGGCAGGCTGGCGAGAGCTGGAGGTAAGACACAGTTGAGTGAGGGGGCTGCTTGTGAGGACAGGGCTCAGCAGGCATCTTCCACCTGCTGCCGTCCATCCCGCAGGCCTGAGGAAGATCTTGAAGGTGGTGGGGCAGGTTCCAGATCTGCCGTCTTGCCTGCCCCTGACTGACAACACCCGCATGCTGGCCAGTGTCCTCATCAACAAGCTCTACGATGACCTGCGCTGTGACCCGGAGCGCGATCACTTCCGCAAGATCTGCGAGGAGTACATCACGTGAGTTTCCTGAAGGGGCGGGCTCTGTATTAGTTATCGGTGGCTGTGTAACAAGTTACTCCAAAATTTAGGAGCTTAAAATGAGAGAAATCATTTATTGGCTCACAACATGACAGCAGTTTGTCAGAGGCTTGGCGGGGTAGTTCTGGCTTTGGGGCTGACAAGTTACAGTCACATGTGGGCCTGGGCTGCAGTCATCCGAAGGCTGTCCTGGGGCTGGGAGATGTGCTTCCAAGATGGCACACTCATGTGGCCCCCAAATCGTACACTTCTCCTACCTCCTCCTTGGCCAGTTTTCTTGACCATGCTTGCCCTGTGTTTTAGGGGCAAGTTTGACCCCCAGGACATGGACAAGAATGTGATTGCCATCCAGACGGTGTCAGGGATCCTGCAAGGCCCCTTTGACCTGGGCAATCAGCTACTGGGACTGAAAGGTGTGATGGAGATGATGGTGGCGCTGTGTGGCTCAGAGCGGGAGACA